TCAATTTCGGTTGGAATTTGCCTTACGATACCATAGCACTATTTATTTACTTATTTTTTTTTCCGGCGATGGGAGTAATCTAACTCTATAGATAATGCTATAGTTCAGTAAGTGGTACGCCGTAGCATCGAGGGTGTCTGTAAAGAATGATATGATGGTGGGAAGGCAGTAATAATGTTTCAGTTTCATATTCGTTCAGTAATATCTGCCATAATTTTACTGTTTATGGCGAACCTCCCAAGGCCTGTGATGGCGTCTGGTTAGGCGAGTGATGCCCCTGGTAGGTCATAGTTCGCCGAGAGAACGCAAGGCTAGATTCACCTCGGGAAATGTGTCGGATTCTTTGCATTCATGACCGGTGCGATCCATCATAGAAAATGGATCAGCAAGGATGTTTTTCTTTTTAAATTCTATTGTTGATTTATGCATCTCGGACAAAGGGTTGTGCTTTGTCCAACAGCTCTGATTAATACCCTAATTTCTGTCTTCATCTTCCGTGTTTCTATACTAAGTGCTTCTATATCAGGTTTCATAAAGCATCACTCCCCTTTTCCCCGTCCGCACGCGCAGCACGCATTCTCATAACGTACCAGTTTATACGCTTCTTCTCCCCCGACACTAATTCCGAAGATAAAGCCCAAGATGCTGGATGAATCGAGCAGGAATTATCATACAAATGACTTTGTATTTTGACGTTGTAGCCATCATAAACAGACCAAGAGAGCTGTAATGGTAGACTCTGTATTCTGTGTTTTCCGGTAATGGGTTTCGTAAAGGAAGTCGTTAAGGGTATTATATACTAGTGAATATCTTTGAATGGGATGAGTTAGTTAGTGTACTGTATATATATTCCATTTGATATGCTTATGCGTATGTATGGGGAGGTAAGTAATATATGCGTATAAGTGTATGTATGTGTGTGTGATGTTTGTGTGTGTGTGTGTGAAAAGTTCCATGCAGGTACATGACGATATCTGTCTCTCTGGGCTTATGTTCCGCTGGCATTTTTCACAATCCCCGTATGTACATGTCCGGTTTGCACAAGTGTATATATGCATAAGCGCGTGCGTTTATGTATATGTGCGTGCGTGTGCTTACCCTCCCGCGCCCCGTCCCCGAGATCAAAGGCCGACATGCAACAGGAGTGGAAGGCAAAGGGGGAAAGGGGGAAAGGGGGGAAGGGGGTGAGGGGGGGAGGGGGATGAGGGTCAAGGTCTTTGTTGCTTTTTTGTGTCTGCTGTCGAGAGGTCGGAGGCTTCTGGGAGACTTGAAGAAGAGTACGAGAAAAAGAGGAGACAAAAAGCCTACTTTCCAAGACCCTACATACACGCTTGAGAACAGAACGTAGAAATAAGAAACACTGAAAAGAAACGCGGAAAAAAAACTACGACATTAATAACAGTGACTGAGATGAAATCAATTCAATACTTAGGAATCAAAACAAAAGAACACATACGAAAAACAAACAAACAAACTAACACAAACGGCTATACCTAAAAGAAAAAAAGAAAGAAAGAAAGAAAAGAATTCTCTCTCTCCCCGGCATAACTAACCCCTCCCCCACCCCCAACCCCTCGCCCGGACCCCACTTCTCCCGACCTTTAACCCTCACCCCCCCTCCCCTCCCCTCCGGCCCCACCCCCACCAGCAACCTTCGCCACCCATCTTTACTCGTTTGTTAATTAGCAATGTCTATTTGTCATTAAATCCTTGATTAATTGGTGATGTTGGCTAGGAGATGCTGCCGGCCCGTTCGAGATCCGTAATTATTTAGAAACAGGGGTTGATAATGAGGAATGAGAATGGCCGAATCGATCAAGCGGAATAATTAGGTAAGGAGTGACGAAACGAAACGAAAATTGCAACGAAATGATTATGATGATTTTGATATTGGGGTATCAGATGGTCAGGATTGTGATATTTTGACAGAATTAATAAAAAAAAAGAAAGAAATGAAAGGAAAAATATAGGAAAACAGCTAGAATATTGATAAATGTGTATATGAACTTTTAAAAAGTACTTGGTAAAATTACGAAAAAAGAATACCCATAAAAAATCAGAAGATCAGAAGAAACAATGAAATAATAAAGGAAAATGCCTACTGTATGTGTGTACAGGGCTGTAACTCGAAAATGCAAACGAGTGATAGCTGAATAAAACTGCCTCTTGTCGAAGAGTCAATTGCTTGCGAATTCTGCATGCTTCATTCTGATGAAAGTGATTGGCAGATTTAACACGCTGATGATATATATATATGTGTGTGTGTGTGTGTGTGTGTGTGTGTGTGTGTGTGTGTGTGTGTGTGTGTGTGTGTGTGTGTGTGTGTGTGTGTGTGTGTGTGTGTGTATATATATATATATATATATATATATATCAACATATATATATATATATATATATATATATATATATATATATATATATATATATATATATATATATCAACATATATATATCAACTTATATATATATATATATATATATATATATATATATATATATATATATATATATATATATATATATATATATACATATATATAATGTAAATTAAATAAATAACAACCCTCCCTGACCAAGACTCGAACCCAGGTCACCCCAGGTATGAACGGGAGGACCAGTACTAAACCAGCTATACTACACGTGGGTTCAGGTCCTGGTCCGGGAGGGTTACATATATATGTATATATATATATATATACATATATATATATATATATATATATATATATATATATATATATATATATATATATATATTATATATATGTATATATATATATATATATATATATATATATATATATATATATATATATATATATATATATATATATATATGAATATGTTAAATGGTATAACACTCAACTGTGTTGACAATATGGTAGAAAAACACAATGCACAAACTGTGTCTTTATTCAAGACAGATATATATAAAGATAATGTGTTTATATAAATGAATGAATAAACATATATATATATATATATATATATATATATATATATATATATATATATATATATATATATATATATATATATATATATATATATATATATATTCAACAGCTATTTATTCCACTTCAGGACACAGGTTTCTCTCATTCACTATTGAGAGGTTATATGGCAGTACCACCCTTACCTGATTGGATGCCTTCCTAATCAACCGCGGTTCAGCGCGCTAACACTTTTGCCACGGCAGTCACTTCCCTATGACACCTGTCGTTTTCTCGTCGTGATATCTCTCTCTCTCTCTCTCTCTCTCTCTCTCTCTCTCTCTCTCTCTCTCTCTCTCTCTATATATATATATATATATATATATATATATATATATATATATATATATTTATATATATATATATATATATATATATATATATATATATATATATATATATATATATATATATATATATGTATGTGTGTGTGTGTGTGTGTGTGTGTGTGTGTGTGTTCAGTATATGTCAGATATATGTCGACCTATAACTATGTCTATGCGCACACACACGCGAGGAAAAGAAACCCTCGGCGTGGCTCTTCCCTTCCGGCGAACAGCGCTGGGACAGGCCAGACAATGGGCTCATTATTCGTATATTATTAGTTTGATCAAGCGCCTCAACCACTACGGGATTAACCTGCTTTTGTCTAAGGGTAAAGATAGAGATAGACAGTTTGACAGGCAGAAAAAAATTGAAGAACATAATTGACCGATAGATTATTGGTACATGTACAGGGAGGGTGATTGATTGTTAAAGACACATGCTCACATGCTCACATACACACACACACACACACACACACACACACACACACATATACACACACACACACACATACACACGCACACACACACACATATATACATATACATATACATATATGTGTGTGTGTGTGTGTGTGTGTGTGTGTGTGTGTGTGTGTGTGTGTGTGTGTGTGTGTGTGTGTGTGTGTGTGTGTGTGTGTATGTGCCCACACACGCACACAATTATATACACACATATTAGCAAAGAAAGAGGAAGATTGTGGTAAACAGAGAGAGAGATACATGATACATAATGAAAAGGGTAGATAGCCAGACAGCCCGACAGCCAAGAAAAAGCGAACAAAAAGACGGACAGGGCGCCGAGCGAGCAAAAACAGGGCATCACTGGTGCATCAATTTAATAAGAGGGAAGATGAGGAGAGATAAAAAAAAAGTTGCAGTGACTTTTCCAAAAGTTCTTCCGCTGGTTAATCACCAGGTATTACTTTTTCTTTTACTGATTTTCTTTCTTTTTACGTTATAGATTTTCTATATTTTATTTTCTTTCTGCTGCTCGTAATTACGGAATAAGTAATGGGAAACCGGTGCTCCAGCGCGGATAAAATACCGCTCCTCTAACTTTACTGGGAAAGAAAATCAACAACGACAACCAGAGGAAAAATCCCTAACTTTTATCTTCTGAATCTCCGTAACATTTGGCTGAGATTTAGCTTAAGAGCAACTGGAATTTCGCTAAGCTAGCTACCCATGAAATTGCAATTGCGCGAGACAACTTCATTTTAGAATTGTGTGTAATTATTTCATGCATATAATTGACGACGTTTAATTTCTTGACTCGTTCCTTTAAAAAATCTAGACAAGCATATACGCCTTTTCCTTTGTGACGACTGGTGTTATTTTTGCATTATTTACTCGTTAAATATCAAATTTTGGAACAAACGCTCGAATTCCAGAATTCTTTGTGATTGCCTTACTTGTTGGCTTTGCCTTTTGAATGTTTCTGACAAAGTTGACACATGCGACGAAATTAAAAAGGATTTATCGTACTGCAAGGAAATTATTAACAAGTAACAAATGCATTTCTGCGGTCTTACATTGCTTCAGTTGTTATACATCCTATATTATACTTATTATTAAGAAAATAACATTGAAAGGTTAACGATATTTATGTTGATTTTATCGTTTGGAAAGGCGATGAAATAGACGTGTTTCAACAGCAATCTTTCTCTCGTTGCAGGCTTTCGCACGCGGCCCAGACGAGCGAGGTCCTAGCGGAGCCCTGAGTCCAGGAAGATGTCTGCCCACAGGAGGGTGGAGGCGACAGTTCTGGCATGGGCTTGGATATCCTGGCTGGCCTCCGTCGCGCTGTTCATGGGTCAGATCAGGTCGGAAGTCGCGGCCACCGGGGTGCAGCTGGACGGTGACCTCATCCTGGGAGGCCTGTTCCCCGTGCACGAGAAAGGGGACAAGACGCCATGCTCGTCTGCCGTGTACGACCGCGGCCTGCAGCGCCTGGAGGCGATGCTGTACGCGGTCGACCTGATCAACAAGGACCCCGTTCTCCTGCCCAACATCACGCTGGGCGTCCACATCCTCGACACTTGCTCTAGGGACACCTACGCCCTGAACCAGTCGCTGGAATTCATCCGAGTGTCCCTGGACGCGCTGGACACTTCCGGGCTGGAGTGCTCGGACGGAAAGGAACCGCGCGTCAAGTACCGAGCCAAGCCCGTGCGCGGCGTCGTCGGGGGCTCCTATTCGTCCGTGAGCCTCCAGGTGGCCAACCTGTTCCGACTGTTCCACATCCCGCAGGTGAGCCCCGCCTCCACCGCCCGGGCGCTCTCCGACAAGGACCGCTACGAGTTCTTCGCGCGGACGGTCCCGCCGGACACCTTCCAGGCCATGGCCATGATGGACGTGATGCAGCTCTTCAACTGGTCCTACATCTCCACCATCTACTCCGAAGGATCCTACGGCGAATTCGGCATCGAGGTCATCCACAACTTGGCCGGCGCGAGGAACATCTGTATCGCCGTTTCGGAGAAGATCCCGCACAACGCCGACCACCGCCTCTACGAGGACATCGTGATGAGCCTCCTGAAGAAGCCCACGGCGAGGGCGGTGGTCCTCTTCACGCGCGCAGAGGATGCAAGGTAAGACGGACGCCATAAGAGCTCGAATGATGGGCCCTACAAGAGTATGGTAAATGGCGAGCTTAGGGTTTAAGGTAGACAATCAAGATGACTTAACTCCTTTATTGAAGAATAATGGACCGAGGTGTTGCTCCTTGGCTCTCCGCAGGGAGACTGCCTGTCACCTCCTACAGTGGTCTAAAGATCGCTGTAAGTCAGGTTATTAGCACGGGGCAACCAAGTGTTACAATAATACATAGCTCTTGCGGAAGGGGATAGACAACACAACATTGGAATGTCTAGGTAAAGGAATGATCATGCGTATATGCATATGGGTATACGTATATGGCATACATGTAAGATTACGTATATAGCATACATGTAAGATTATATAAAATATGTAGAATATAGTAATATACTATAGATATAACTGGGTTACAGACGGAAACAAGAACTATACAGTTGCTCTGGTATCAAGGGATTTAGGATAATGAGATAAAGAAATAACTGTGTGTGTGTGAATGTGTGTGTGTTTGTGTGTGTGTGTGTGTGTGTGTGTGTGTGTGTGTGTGTGTGTGTGTGTGTGTGTGTGTGTGTGTGTGTGTGTGTGTGAGAGAGAGAGAGAGAGAGAGAGAGAGAGAGAGAGAGTGAGAGAGAGAGAGAGAGAGAGAGAGAGAGAGAGAGAGAGAGAGAGAGAGATATGAACTGAGCTTTAACACGAGCTGACAGAGAAGCAAACGGGACAAGTAGAAGAAAAATGATCACGGGCCTTGAAATGGAAAATACCTGAAATGGTAAACACTTTTTTTCGACAAGAATAAACACTCTATGGAAAAAAGTTATCAACGAAAATGAGCAGAATACACAGTGATACAGCCTGCCTGCCGCGAGATCTTCCCATCGTGTTTGTACTGAAAATATTTAGGCATTTTTGTAGAAAGTTTTACCTCGCAGGAGTTTCATCGTATTCTATCGCGGTACTTCCATTATAGTTTTTAGTTATTATTTTTATCACATTCTTTTGAGAAAATCCTGATCTGTTGCTTAATTATTTGCGTTTATTCATTCATCTTCCTTGTTGATCAGAATTATGCGTGTGCGTGAATATGTCTCTTTCACCGCAAAAACACACATGGATACAAACAAACTAACAGATAAATAAGCTCACCCAAAACCGCACTCCAACATTTACATCCTTCCCCTCCCCCCCCCCATCCTCTCCTTTCCCCTTACGCCTCCCCTTGGACACCCCCCCCTCCCCCTCCCCCCTCCCACAGCACAAACCGCACCACAACATGAATAAACACGTATAACGCACAAATTACGCCCCGAATTCCCTCCCTCATTAGGCTCCCCTGCTATTTCCTTCTTAAACTAATTTTTTCCAATCCGTTGCTAGCCAGAGCACCGTCCTCCTTCCCGACCCCTTTCGCCGATCCCCTGCCTTCCCCTCCCCTCCCTCCCCTCACTTGGCTTCCCCTCTCCCCCCTCCCCTGCATTCTCCTCTCCCCCTTGCCTTCCCCTCCCCTCCCTCCCTTCACTTGCCTTCCCCTCTCCCCCTCCCCTGCATTCTCCTCTCCCCCCTGCCTTCCCCTCTCTCCTCTCCCCTGCCCTTCACTTTCCCCTCCCCTGCCTTCCCCTCCCTCCCCTCCCTTGCTTTCCTCTATGCTCCCCTCTCCCCTCCTCCCTCTCCCCTCTCCCCCTCCCCTCTCCCCTCTCCCCCTCCTCCCTCTCCCACACAACCTCCGAGTTCACCCTCCTTCGATCCTCACCCCCCCCCCCTTTTCTCCCCCTCCTCTTCCTCATACTCCTACCCCTCCTTTCGCCGTACATATAAAGTTTTGCCTTAACGAAGGGTAACGAGGGAGATAGGTTTCTGGGGAAGGAGCGAGGGGAGGGGTAAGAGGGGGAGGGAGGAGAGCGGGGGAAGGAAGAGAGGACGAGGGGAGAGGGGGCGGGGGGGAGGGGGGCAGGAAGAAGAGAGGACGAGGAGAAGGGTTTCTGTTCATTCTTTTCTCTCGCTTCTTCTCCCTATCCCTGTCTGTCTGTCCGTCTGTCTATCAGTCTGTCTGTCTGTCTGTTTGTCTGTCTGTCTGTCTGTCTCTCTCTCACTCCTTTTTTCTCTCTCTCAGAGAGAGAGAGAGAGAGAGAGAGAGAGAGAGAGAGAGAGAGAGAGAGAGAGAGAGAGAGAGAGAGAGAGAGAGAGAGAGAGAGAGAGAGAGAGAGAGAGAGAGAGAGAGAGAGAGAGAGAGAGAGAGAGAGAGAGAGAGAGAGAGAGAGAGAGAGAGAGAGAGAGAGAGAGAGAGAGAGAGAGAGAGAGAGAGAGAGAGAATGAGGGTTAAAATCGATTATAAGATCTGTAAAATATGCGGGTCAGGAAAATGCCTAAAGATCTAATATGTAAAACGAAGAAATACAAAAGAAGCGACAAGGAAATAAAGAGAAATCGGAAGACAAAAAAAAAAAAAAAAAAAAAAAAAAAAAAAAAAAAAAAAGGCAAGCAAAAGGACAGGAAAAGAATAGAGACAGGAAAGAGTAAAATGAAGAAACACAAACGATAAGGAAATAAAGAATGACCGAAAAGGGGAACTCAGAATCTTTATCGTCGGAGTCATTCTTCCTCTGGTGTTTTGCGAAATGAACAGTACTTAGTTAAAACAATGTAGGAGAGGACAGAATATTTAGTTTTGAAGGGCTGTATTATTATAATTTAACTATATGGACTTTTATCCTTATTTCTACTCTTCAAGTTCTGTTTCTTTTTTTTTATATACCTTTCTGTCTGTATCTCTGTCTCTCTCTGTCTGTCTCTCTGTCTGTCTTTTTGTCTGTCTGTCTATCTAACTGTCTGTCAGTATGTCTGTCTGTCTGTCTATCTAACTGTCTGTCAGTATGTCTGTCTGTCTGTCTATCTATCTGTCTGTCGGTATGTCTGTCTGCCTGTCTCTCTCTCTCTCCCTCGTTTTCTCTCTTTCTCTCTCCCTCTCTATCTTTCTTCATCTTCTTTTCCCCCCTCTCTGTGTACCCATCTCCTTCCTGCCTCCCTTTTTTTTCTCAAACTTAACCAAATCTCTTCCCTCATTCTCTCTCATATTTATCCTGTCACCGGTGTTGTTTCGTTCAGTATCTAATTTTGCATTTTTACCTTAGATCTCTCATGAACTGTATTTTTTCATTAGTGGAAGACGACAACTATTCTTTAACGCCGACGAAGCTGTCTTTCTTCCGTTCCAGAAAGGAGACAACAAATGTACATTTTCATCTGGTTTCTTTTATGCTTGCCAATAGCGTCTCTGTGTCGCTCCGTCTCTGTGTGTCTCTCTTTCCCTCTGTCTCACCGTCTCTTTTCTTATGTGTCTCCGCGTCTCTGTGTCTCTCTGTCTCTGTCATTTTTCTCTCTCTCTGTCCCTCTGTCTCTCTATCTCTTTTTCTTATTGTGTCTCTAATTCTCTGTCTGTCTGTCTGTCTCTCTCTCTCTGATCACAGCCTTTCTCTCTCTCTCTCTCTCTCTCTCTCTCTCTCTCTCTCTCTCTCTCTCTCTCTCTCTCTCTCTCTCTCTCTCTCTCTCTCTCTCTCTCTCTCTCTCTCTCTCTCTCTCTCTCTCTCTCTCTCTCTCTCTCTCTCTCTCTCTCTGTTTCTCCCCTTCTTCACTCCCCCCTCCTCTCTCCTTTCATTCTTTCTTTCTCTCTCTCTCTTTCTCTCTTTCTCCCCCCCCTCTCTCTGTTTCTCCCCTTCACTCCCCCCTCCTCTCTCCTCTCTCTCCCACTCTCTTTCATCCTCCAGCGACTGCGAAGAGATTATTTCCCAACGACGTACGTGTCTTTCAGGGACATCGATCCATTTGGTAATTTGCTTGCACAAACTCGTCTTTTCTCTCTGCTTTGGCGTCTCCCTCGTCTCCCTCTCCTCCTCATTCACCCTCTCTCTATTTCTCTCTTTATCTTCTTTTCTTTCTTTCTATCTCTCTCTCCCTCATGCCTTCCTTCCATTCTTTCGTCCCCCCTCTCCTCGCAAAAGCAACACGACCTCAAAGCGAGCTGCATTCAGGACACATAAACACTGTAAACTCACCAGGACCTCCGCCATCGCAAACCCTCCCCCGTGAAAGGCGCCTTCGTTCTTATATTCATCCGGACAAACACAAATGATGTCTTCAACTTCGGCTTCGTTGAATGCTATTTGCCTCCCCTTCCCTCTCCCACTCTCTGGTCGCAGTACCTGCTCTGTGATCTCATCTTTACTTTCCTTTTTTTTTTTTTTTTTTTATTATTTGCATTCTTTGATTCGAAAGCGTATTCTCACTGCTTATACGATTCTTCTTCTTTTTTTTTTTTGCTTGAAGGCAGGACGTGCTAAGGTGACGGGAAGCCCATCATTTCTACCTCACGTGTTGCGTCGCTCGATATTCCCAGCGACAACTGGGCTGGAGATCTGTCTGTGGTGCTGAGAGGTCATAGCGGTTGCCCAGCGGAGTCAGTCTGTGTCTCTCCTGTGGCTCTTGGGTTGTCTGTCTGTTTGTGTGTTTGTCTTTTGGTTTGTTTGCCCATGTGATTACATGTGTGTGTGTGTATGTGTGTGTGTGTGTGCGTGCGCGCGCGCGTGTGTGTGTGTGTGTGTGTGTGTGTGTGTGTGTGTGTGTGTGTGTGTGTGTGTGTGTGTGTGTGTGTGTGTGTGTGTGTGTGTGTGTGTGTGTGTGTGTGCAGCCGTTTGTCCCCCCAGCACCCCGTCCTCTCTATTTCTCTTATTTTCTCTCGTCGAAGTCTCCCTTTCCTTACACCCGATCTAAATCTATTGCAAATGAAACAGTCCCAGTTATCACACTGACAACTTACGCCGTTCCTTACTCTCATACATGCTCTCGGCTCTTAACATGAAACGCAGTAAATAAAGACATGGGTACCGGTTCTGTTGGACGGTAACAGGTAGTCTATTTTAATGGAAAAAAGAGTGAGACACAGAGTGAGTGAATAAGAGAGAGAGAGAGAGAGAGAGAGAGAGAGAGAGAGAGAGAGAGAGAGAGA